GCACAGGAAGTTCCGTCTGAACATGAGGAAGAACTTCTTCCCTCTGAGGGTGACAGAGCACTGGAACAGGCTGCCCAGGGAGGCTGTGGATTCTCCTTCTCTGGAGATATTCAAGACCCGCCTGGACAAGGTCCTGTGCAGCCTGCTGTAGGTGACCCTGCTTTGGCAGTGGGGTTGGACTAGATGACCCACAGAGGTCCCTTCCAACCCTAACCATTCTGTGATTCTGTATGTAAATAGTTTACTTTGAAGGCTCCTGGACTTAACATAGGACTGAGGGAAATGTAATGGAATGGGATAGGCCGTGGGTCAAACTACAGATTTTAATACTTGAAGCTTTCTCCAAACTTGACCCAAGCTCATGTTACAGAGTGAGTCTTCACATGTTAGCAGCCTTGTGAGAAGACAGGGGACAGCTGGTTCAAGGGAAGCCTTCTGTCAGCTTCAGTAGATTCTGCTGTATGCCTACAGCCTGGCACTACTTTGGGTGAAAACATGGAAAAGAAGGACATCCGGTGAAATGCAGTAAGGACAAGAGCTACTGGCCTGGGAACAGGTTAATTCCCTCTTGCAAGCTACAAACACATACACTGAAGAATTCCTTAGTGTAAGGAAAAACCCTGAAACAGAAGCATTCAGAGAACCCATGACATGCAGAGGTGTCACTCGGTGGCCTTGCTTTCCTTGTGCTGTTCTCAAGGTCCTCACCAGATTCCACATGTTCAGAACTCCAGCTTTAGGCTATTGCATATCACTACATTTCATGGCAGAACTGTTGTAATGTGTTGCCTTGGAAGTGGGTGTTTTAATTTCAGAAGTAAAGGTGTTTGTTTTTGGTTTTGTTTTTTTAAATTGCGAAGGAACAGAAAAATTGTGTGTGAAAGGTACTCTTGTGTTCCTCGCTTGAACAGTGACATAGAGCACCCTACAGAGACTTTGTTTTTACCACCCTATTATTTTCTTTATGGTATTGATGTATTTATAGTAAAAATTAGATTCCACGTTGCTTCTTGCTGGGGTTTCTAGAACTGAAAGCATAGGCGCATGTAATGCAGGATTTGAGTTTTGTTTAGTTCTGTGTCTTTTCATGTTTACTTTTGCTTACCCAAAGTTGCTGAATTGACTATTCGGGTAGTAGTCTTCCTGTCCTGAAGTACTTGGTACTTGCAGTCTTTGTGTAAAAGAAAAAAAAAAAAACCACACACACACCTTGAAGACCTGACTCGCAAATCTCTCTTTTTTCCTTCCCAGAAGTACACTGCCATTGGACTATTAGGCAAAGCTACTGATACGTTGGATGCTACAGGAAGAGTAACTGAAGAAAAACCTTATGGTAAACGTAAATGTATCTATATACTTGATGTAATATGAAGGCGTGAATGGTCTGTATCATGGAAAAGCAGAAGAGATGTTTGGGACACTGTGAATTTTAATGTGAAATCAGACTAAGGTTATTTCCTCTTTCATTTCAGTGCTGGTATAATTCAGACCAGCTTCATGCAATTATGTCCACTGCAAGTGTTTATTTATGTTATAAAAAGACAAACCAGGCATTAGATTAGGAGGGAGAAAATAGGCTTGGGCAGGACCGTGTCATTTTAAATCTTTGACAGGCTGACAAATGATGTGCTTTGTCCAGTAAAATTTCCCTGTGTCAGTGTGTAGTCCCATGAGTGCCCTTACAGTAACACCCTTCAAGGCCTGTGGAGGAGTAAAGTGCTTAGATCTTTTCTTTGGGATGCCATTTTAACTGCAGACTGCTCTACGTAAAATGAGGATGGCATTAACTACTTTCTGCATATGTTCAGCTACCAAATCTTGCTTTTGCTTGCAGTCTGTGTCCTAGCAACTTTAATAAATGAACTTTTCTGACCCACAGAGCACAATGCAAGAGTTTAAGGCTTCAGAACTAATCCTGACTGTGGCTTTATTGGAGTCAACATTCCACAATACCCAGGGTGTCTTAGAAACAACGTAGGACTAACCAAGGACACACCAAATGAATTTACTATTAGTTCTTTCACAATCTGGGGAGAAAAAAGAAATAAAACCAATATGTAACTACTCGCTGAACAGCTCTTACAGGTCCCACGCTGATTGTGGTACCTGGTAATAGGTACATGAAGTAAATTATCTTTCTTTTAATAGCATGATGAAAAAGGTAGCCTGGATTCCACCTCTCACCCCTAATCTCCTTTCTTTTGCAGTTTTTCTTTTTGCATGAGGCATGCAAGTGTGACTTTCTTGTCCACGTTAACTTGATGTATCATTCTAAATAGTAGTATTTACTAGGCGATGTTATTCGGAGATGTTGGGTCATTTGCTGCTACTTTGGGATCAAGTTCTAAGTCTCTCTCTAAGCCTCTGAAGGACTGAGCATCCACATGGTGTTAAAGCTGCCAACACTTCGTGATGGTGGGAGAGAACACTTTATTGGTTTTTATGTAAACCTCTCAAAGTGGAATCTTGTGGTTCTGCTGTGCCAAGTAGTGTTCGTTGTAGGTACTTGCTCACATAAACTGTGAAATACCATTTTAAGTAGATGCAACTCCTGTGGTCCATTAATTTTTTTTAAAAAAATCTGTTTCTTGAAACAGTTGTTTAGGTTTTTTATTTTGTATTGTTTACTGCAGACAGAATTTAGAGTGTTGTTTTCATGTGTGTTCCTTTCACTGGCAGCTCTTGTTACAGTAGTTCCCACCTCTGTACCACCTCCTCTGTTACGATGGTTTAGCTTTCTGTTAGACTGTGTGCCTGGGGAACTGATTTGGGTTAAAAATACCCACTTTTTGGAGTCATTTATCTTTTTAAAATGAGATCAGTTGCATGATCCAGATCATCATGCAGTCTCATGAAGAGCAGTTTTGGCATTGCTGGGACAGTGCAGTCTTGGGTGCTGGGTAAAGTTTTGGTTTCCTGAAGCTGCTGGCTGAAGGAAATGCTTGGGAAATTGGTGTCTGTTGTATTCCATGTTGGTGCAAAGCAGCAGAATTTGAATTCTTCAGAAAGAAGAAAGGAAGAACATGCATACTTCTTCTTTTTCTCCATTCTGCCTACATATTTTGTATTTCCTTCCTACCTCCTCTTCTCTTAAAACAGAGATTTGTCATCTTTTCCATTGTCTTCTTCAAAGCAGCATAGTTTTCTGCAGGCTTCTCTGGGTCGCCCACCACCCCTAATCCCTTACCCTAATTGATACTCCAGGAACAGACCAGCCAGATACTTGTGCTGAATTTTAGCTTTCCTTTGATACATACAAGGATTCTGGGAGAAGCAGAGCATCTGCTAGGGAATATAAATCCAGCAGTGCCAGCAGCATCCAGGATTGGGCCTTAGTGCAGAGAAAGGGCACTGAAGCAGCTTGCGAGATATATGACTCTTCTTGAATTACTCCACTGGACCACAAGAGGAAAGTGCCTGCAGAAAGTTGCCTGCTGTATTAACTGTAAGAAAGTGTTACATTTTAGTCCTCAAAGTGTCCCTAGACAGCGGTTTAGAAAGCAAACTGTTGTGTATTACAGTTAGTCGCAATGAAAGGATGTACTGAAGAGAGCTTCTTGGGTTTAACCCCTCCTGACCTTCTCATGCTTTTTTAGTTTGTTACTTATCAGACAGCAAGTTTGCGTTTCTGTATGAAATTAGGTTACGGTTTCATACTGCTCCCAGGCTATCAGATGCTGACTTTGTAAGCGAGTGCCGTTTAGCGTTCCTCTGATGCTTTGTTGAGCACATTAATGTTTGTAGCCCTTTTTCTTTGATGTTTGTAACTATGCACAGGAATCTGCATTCTGAAATCCACTTCCTCCCAGCTGCCTACAGACTATATCCAGACATGGAAAACAAAATTCATGAGGATTTTCTGTGGGTCTCTGCTGATTATGCTGAAATAGGTGGTTAATAGAGCTACCAGAATAATTTGAAAAAAAGTAGTGCTTTCAGCATTGTGCTTGTCTGTTTGCAGATAATTTGTGCTGGGACAAATTGAGTCGAGGTCACCTGCCGTAGTTCTTTTGGGCTGTCATGGATAGTGCTTATGTTCTGTTTTGGTGTAGTTTGTTAATAAGTGCAGGGTGGTATCACCCTTCAGTGGAGGCTTCTTGAGGTTGTAACACAATTGACACCTTTTGATTTGGTAACTTTAACTTCCTTTATGATTATGGCAGGAAAATACATGAACACTCACCAGTATTCAGAAGCACATCTGTTCTTAAAAATTTTTGTGTTGGCAGCTGAGTTTGCCAACTGTGTTGGCAGTGTCATTTTCAGTGTTGTTTAGAAGCACTGGAGAACTTAATGCCCCTTCTGAAAGGGCAAAGAGCTGCAGTTTAAGCTTCTAGCAAAAACTTGTGCTCTGCAATATAACAGATGAGGATATTTGGTATTTGCAGTGAGGATATTGGGAGGAGTAGGCTAACTCTGGGTAGCAAGGGCAGTTAGGATCTGTGACAGATGTGTCCCCCAGAAACAGCTCTCAGCCCTTTAGGGGAGCAGAGAAGGGCTGTCAGATGGGGAGAGGAAGTTTTGGGATGGTTGGTGCTAATTAGCCTTTATGTGTGTGTTCTTATTTCATGCTTGATGGAGGGTGGAGTCCAAATGCTTCCCTAACTTGCTGACAAGTTAACCTACTAAACCCAAGCCCACAGTCAGATGAGGGAGACCTGTGGACCTAGGGCCTGAAAGGAGATGGTTCTCCTGGGCAGCAGGACTACGTTCCCCCTGACCTATGCTGTGGATGTAAGGACTGTGGGAGCTGAGACGTGGTGAAGGAGCTGGTTCCTGGTGTGGGCTGTGTGCCCTGCAGAGCCATGAGTCCAGTCTGATGCCTGGGACAAGTACGCAGTTTACACATGGTGAAACTTTTTGGGACCAGGATAACAGGGCATTGCTTAATGACTTGAGAGCTGGGCGAAAGCTCCACCAGCTTGTGTGTTGTTCTAGGAAAGGGCAAAAATCCAGTATAGTCCATTAACACAAAGGCAGTGCGTGCTGGGAGGGGAAAAAAAAAGCGCACACTTTTTTAGGTTTTCAGAATGTAATACTAGCCAGCTTGTGCCGTGATGTATCGCAGAAGACAAATGCGTTTTATTCTACATCTTAGCAAACTCATCTGTAAATATTTACTTTGATAACACACCACACAACTTTGTTTGTTAATGGCTTAATACATCATTCCTCATATAGGGATTTTTTTTCCCCAGAGACAGAGATTGCATATAGCATGAGTGATTTCCTCAGAGGCCGGATGTAACCTCTCAACTGGGGGAATATGAGATCAGAGCAGGAACTGAACTCGGGTGTCTCATTAAATGCCCTAGCCACAAATGCAGTTCATGGGGTGAAAATTGAAAGAGAAACCCAAATGACACTTGTGCTGAGATCTGAAATACTAAATTCTAGTCTGAAGCAACCTGGGGTTCATAAGAAGGCTGACAGGATCACCAGCACAGAACTGGGTCATGCTAAGTTTCTGCCATGTGGTTTTCTTGTGATATGTTGCCTACTTAGAGTAATACAAACAGAAGATTGAAATAACCATGTAAGAAGCTCTTCAGAAGAAGATCCAGATTTACTGTACAATTGATTTTGTTGTTCCTACCCCATATTCTGATGTACATTGGTTCGTCTCAGCATCCCTGACTGACTTTTGTGCCTTGCAACCTTGCTGTTACTGACACTTCTCGAGGCGGCTGCTGGGGCCAAGGGACAACATCAGCTCCTGAGGCTGCGAAGTGTGCTTTGTGAGGTACCACATTGCCATCTTCCAAAGCTGCTGTGGAAAGAAACCTCTGCTTTTTCACTTGCAGCATGAAGTACATCTGTTTTGCAAGTAAAGATCTGTTCCAAAAAGGCTCAATAAATAAATCTGGTTGGTTTATGTTCCGGGATGCTGTTGACTTAGCAGGGTGACATTAATTGAATATAACTTACGAGAAACAGGACTAGTCAAGGCCTAGACAGAAGAAATGCACTGAAGTGCATTGTGATTATAGATCTTATGTTTGTAGTCTCTAAACAAATTAGAGATGAATGTAATCTCTATTGAATAGTATTTCAAAAGACCAATGCAATCAGCTACTTAGGTTATAGCCTTCTAATAAAAGTGGGACAGATGTGTATGTGTACTTTTAAAAGAGAGTAGATTGCCTAAAGCAGCTATCTTTCTTTTATAGGATTTCTGCAGTAAAATTGCCTTATTTTATATATAACAATACCCTAGTGTGCATTTGTAGGTTAGTTGTTTGATACAGAATTTTGATGTGTTGTTTCAGATGCAGTATTTTTCTTCACTAGCAAAAAAACCCACGATTCTTTTGTTCTCTAATAATTGTTGTGTTTTTCCCTGCAGTTAGATACTCTTAAAGAGAAGTTGCCAAGGTTAGATGAGCATTTTATTCTTTTTGGTCCTTTAATAAAAATTAGAATAACATAGATTTTGTAGGATTTGCATAGTTCCCAAGAAAAATGCATTTGCAGTCCCAACAGAGAGAGAAATTGTGAAAGAAGACTGAGCATATTGGGATTTCTGCCCTTCTGAAAGTGACCAGACTGTCTTAATCACCTTGGACAGTTTGTTCCACTCTTTTTGTGATAATTCACACTCCTACCTACATTCTGTTTTGTATCTCTTCTCTTTAGTGTTTTTCACTCAATCTAAATTCAGACGAGAAGGAACTCTTTTTTGTATCTGTTTGAAGAATGTGATTGATGCCATTAGTGCCATGTGAATAATCAATGCTAACATACTTACTGTTTTCTTTCTACAGAACAGATAACAAAAGGAGATCTTGAAAATGTGCTGCAAAAGTTCACAGGGGAGATAATGCAGGTTCCTCCACTGTAAGTTCCACAACATTCATGTGCTCCTAGCAGTTGTGTTCAGCTGTCGGGACTTACCAACAGAAGTCAGTTCTCTCAGAAATAAAAGAACACATTTTGGCAAGGCAGACTTAGGAGTTTAATGTTTGCAACTGTAGGTCATGCCCATTTGAACATCGAGCACAAATGGTAACCTGGAGTCTGTTTTTTTGTTTGTTTTTTTTTTATGATAAATGTAAAGTAGTAAAGCAGTCTTAAACAGCTTTGCAGGGCTTGGTGGCTTCTATCCTGTCTTCCAATTAGAAAGCAAAGCTCCGAGTCTTTAGGTTTAGTTGTGGGCTGAGAGGAGGCTTACTGACACCTGTGTGGAAGTGCCTTAAATGACTTTGAATTACGTTTTCTGAAAACTCAGGGTATGAATGAGTGATTAGCAGCTGAGCTTCTGTAGTTTAGAAAATTTCTTCTAGTCAGGTGAGCCATAGTAGCTGGCAATGTGCAAGCACTTAGCTTGTGACAGATGGCTTTTATGGTGATTTAAGCTAACATGCTTTCCTTTGCATTTGTAATGGGTCGGTTACTGTGGTTCCAGCGTGAGCACTGTAAGGTCAGTAATTCAGCAGGTGTTCTGCTTCATGTGGTCTGTTTCAAATTGCCCTCTTCTAATTTGAGAAAGATCTTTTTTTGATTTTTTTTTTGTTTTTTTTATGGTTGTCTGTCAAGCCAAAGTTGGAGCTTTGGGTCAAGTTTCATGTAATCGGTCATATTAATTTTTTTTTGTTGTTCTATAGTGGTCCCTTAAACACCCTAGAACAAGACTATGTAAATTGGCAGTTGCTGTTCAGGGAAAACCCTGGTGTGAGATGAGTGAAGGTGTGAGGCAGAATTACAGGAGTTGCCTGAGCAGCTCCCAGTGCTCAGCTCAACAGAACGCTGAAACAGAGTACGCCCTGCAGACTTCTGAGAGACAATATGTTACAGGCAGCTGCAAGTGGTGTACCCCTTGTAGAAACCCTTTGTTTTCATAAACTACAAATTGAGTGATGAAACACTTTTAAATCTCTACAGCAAGAGATAAATACAGGACCATCTCTTGTTTTCCAGTCTATATAGCTACTGGCGAAGGAGGTGATTCTGTGTCCAAGAGATTTCAGAAACACTTGCTAGTTGTTTGTTGGGGGTTTTTATGAGTACTTGGGAGGGGATTAAAAGGGTAAAATGTATGCTACTGTAGTACAGTACTAACAGGATCTGGAGGATGGGAAGCTTGTTCTATTACAACCGTATGACACAGATTTTCATGCTCTATCTGCTCAGCTATTCTGCTTTGAAGAAGGATGGAGAGAGGCTATCAACCCTGATGAAGAGAGGAGAAGCAGTCGAAGCAAAGCCTGCTCGGCCAGTGAGAGTGTACAGCCTCTCTCTCCAACAGTTCCAGCCACCACTGTTCACACTGGGTAAAGGCCAAAGACGATTACATAGAGTGATGCTCCCAGCTTGTTAGTGCTGATTTACACTCAGAATGGGAGTAAGACAGTGAAGTGGGTTTCATTTCCCTCAGCTGCTTATTTTGGTGTGAGCCCATGTGTAGACACTTTCACTTTGCAGTACAAGCACCATATTTTGATTTTAATTTAAGCTGATTACGTATAATCTTTCTGTGAAGGAAAATTCTGAGAGGCTGGTTGGGGGGTTATTTGCATTATTTGTCCATGATTTTGCAGCCTCCAGCTCACTCCTCCTTTCTCAGGTCTGCTTGCTTCACTTTGCCCATTCTTTTGCCTGGACACCCAGGCCTGCTGACATCTCTCCCAGGGTGCAGCAAGGACCAGTATCAGTTACTGTCAGGCCCCTTTCTCAGTTGAGGAGGCAGGATCTTATCTTTCCTTCTGTCATACATGAAGAAACTTGGGTAGTACATTAAGAAGCACATTAATAAATAAACCAAAAAGACTACTGTCAATGTTTGATGTTACTGTGAGGTCAAGATAGTGTCTTGCGTTGGTCAGCTGCCTAGTTGACCCATAGTTCTCTGATGGACCAGACATTATACGATGAGCAGGTGTGAGTGACAGAACTCAGTGCTGTGTTACTTCAGTCCTGACTTTATGGTTGGGTGATAAGCAGCTGATCAGTGGCAGAGCGGGATGGGGAGGGGTGAGAGAGCAGGGAAAGTTAAAGGTGAATTTCAAAATTTTATCGGAGCTGCCTGTGTGCAGTATCTTAAAAGCATTGGTAGGCTATACTTGAAATAACTTGTTTTCGTCATTAGAAATTTGAAACAACCTTCTAAAACCTTAAGACTGAAGCATTTGTTAACGTACCACAGCAAGTACTTAATTTCTAGTGAGTTGGTTCAGTTGCCATTGTATTTGCTTTGCCTTCTGTCTAGCTTAGCAATCTCACCCGCACATATGTTACAGGATGAATAATTGATGTTGCATCCTATAAATATTTTATCACTGGGTTGTTTGCTTAGCACATTTTTACATTTATGTGAGGGCATGGTTTCTATGTAAAGTAGATTTTACATTGCACTGGTAATTTATCATGTTGGTATTAACGTTCCAGATGTTGAATGTGGTGGTGGCTTTTATGTCAGGAGCCTGGTCAGTGACATTGGCAAAGGTAGGCATGAAGAAACCCATGACAGTTTAAGGAATGAATGTGTCTGTTTATGGAAAAATTTTGTCACTTTCTATGTCTCCAGCAGCCAGACCTATGTGCTATTATGCAGAGTTGTGGTGTTACCACTTGTTTTTATATACTAAGGTATTTTTCTTGGGAGCATGGGGGAATGAAGGCTAAATAATTGCCAGAGGACCTTGGGGGCTGAGGGACAAAAATGGAGTAAGTAATAGCACTGAGAAAAATAATACAAGGCAAAGTGGGTTTGTTTTTTTTTTCTCCCTTGTCCATATGTTAAACCTAACTCGGATTAAGGGTGAGAAGAAGAAGAAAGATGCTGTCTTTTTAAACGTTACTCATCACATTTTGAAAACAGATTGCACAGAACATTACCATGCACATAGTAAACCCTATCTGCTGGAAAGACTTCTACACTTGCGATGATTTTTATTTCTCCATTACCTGAACTGTGAATGGTTTTGCTTTCCCACAGGGTTGTTTGTCTTGTGCTTTATTTCTATCAAACTGCATGATGGAGAACAGATAATTCATTTCAAAGTTTGTTTAAATGATAAATTTGCAGATCAAGAACGCAAGGGATGTGGGATGACCCTGTGAATTTCAATATTGTTATTTGTGCTTAGGCAAGTCAAAGATTTTCTTTCTCTACTGCCTTCTGAGCATACTGGCTTGTATTTAGTCCTTTAATGAGAAACCAAGATTAAGTCTGTCCTCAGCTGGTTTCTTTTCAAACATTTAAAATGCAGTAAATAGCTTCCTGCATCAGAAAGGATGGGAGAGAATATTTTAGTATACCGGTGCTCTTACCAGTCAGCTCTGGTTCCTGTGATGTTTTGTAGCCCCTCATTATGTAATTCGGTCCTACTGGTATTTACTTAACATATCAGAGCATTTGTTTGTGTTTTTTATTTTTCCTTATCTTAGTTTATATTGTCCTGATAGGCAGCACAGGTTAAAAATGTCAAAAATCCTTCTTGAAGGCAGGAAGTGCGAAGGCCTTAAAGTCTGTGGAAAAAATAGTACATGGTTTTCTAAGTCTTTTGTGAATACAGAATCTTCTGCTTATGTCTTATGTCATTATTTCCTCTCTTTTCATTCTGATGTAAATCTGGAAAAGCTTTTGACGAGTTTCTGTCAGATTTTGAACTCGTTACTACACTGGGGATGTATTGAAATCAAAGGAATTCCTTGGCTCAAATTTAAGAAGATGCAAACGAGTGATAAATGTTCATGAGCTTCCTTCTCAAACAAAGTAGAACAATGTAGAAGGCTACATGTAAAAACACATTTTAAGTGAGTTGCAAGTAGTTAAACTTGACCATGCACTTTTTCTAAATCCTCTTTTCTCCTTGACTGTAGAACTGTCTACCTGTGCCACTATGCAAGAGCTGACCCGAACCAAACAGGGGCCATTTACGCTAGAGGAGCATGCCCTTTATGAAGACAAATGGACAATTGATGAAATTGCACGATCCTTAGAGCACTGCATGTCTCTTCTCCCAGGAGAGCCATCTCATAAAAAATTGAAGACAGAGCATCCTGGCGAAACTGCTGTGAGCTGTGAAGATAAGTGATAAGTTGCATCGAGAAAAAAGACTGAATGATTGAGGCATTTTGAGATTGGATTGGGATTGTCTTGCCTCCAGTGTAAATTTACAAGTCTGTACTGGGAGGGTGACAAACTGCAGTGCGGGAAAAACAGTTCTTTTGTTTTCTGGGGTTAGAACATGCACTGAAAATATCCAGCGCTTGCTGTTTCCTGATCTGGTTTTTTTTTTTCCCTTTTGGCACACTGTAAATGGGCTTGTCACTGATGTCAAATCTTCATAAACTTTTAAAGAACTTGCAGGATGCAATATAGCTGTTGTTAACAATTCCTCAATAAAAAAAAAATATAAACCTTCAGGTTTTCTAAATGTGCTTCAAGAAAAAGATCTTTTTTTTTCCTTTATAGCTGCTAATCGAACCCTGAAATGCTATGGAGACAAGACTGTCATAGCTTGAACGGTACGAGAACATGGTGGGGCAGTTTGCTTTCTGGGAATCCATTTTAGGAAATGTCCATTTTACTGTAGCTTTTCATAAGCAGATTGTTCTTTCAGTCAAATGTTATTCAGAATGTGTTAGATCTAGTCTGAAATACGAGTGTAAGTGAATAGTTTTGAGTATAAACAATCCCTGAAGATAAGAGTTTGATAAAAAGTGCTCTGAAGAGTGCAGTCAACATCACAAGGTGTACAGATCTTACTGTGGTGCAATGTCCCAGATGGTGACTATCCATAGTTTAAAGTATAGTTAACAGCTGTGCCCTTCACAGGGCTTATGGAATTTACTTTTGTCATCTGTGTATTGCTTGAGCTGTCTCCCGTGGATTGGGTAGAAGGCTGATGCGCTTCAGGGCTTTGGCTGGTTTGGCCCTGACTGCTTGCATGAGCAACAGAGGGATCCACCATCAAGGACCCTTGCTGAAACCACTTTAATTCACTGGGGCAGAGAGGGTCCGTTCCACAGTTCCTGTAGTCATCAGAATTTGATGACACTGATTATTTCTCACCACTGCCTACCTTGGGATTTTCAAAATGGCTAAAAGACATTGGTTTGAGAATATTAACAAAGCACCCTAGTTCATTTCCAGGTGTGTAATGGACTGTCCTAGAAGGACTTGCCTGTGTGTCCCCATACAAGTTGTTAGCGGCTCGGTTTCGCTCTTGCCATAATGAGGAACATGAGGAGTAGTTCAAACATGTGAGTGATACCTGAGAGAAAACCCTGCTTTTGAGATTGTCACTGGAATGTCACCAAAGAGGAATGGACTGGCTGCTGTTGCAGTTTTATGCTGCTGCTGGCCCAGTGGGCTGCAGTGGCTTTGCACAACTCCTACACCATTGAGTTTTGGTTCTGGAATACAGGAACTGGACTCTCTGAGTGACTGCATGCTGTAAAGCCAAGAGTTTGTGCTTATATTAAGGTGTATCTTTTACAGAGAGACGTGAAAATTTGATTTAATGACTCTGTGTTAATGGACTTGCTACTTTCTATAATAAGTTACCTTGATAGCTAATTACCTCTGTTGCTTAAAAGAAGTTGTGTTTTATTCCCAACTTGAATCTCCACATGCTGCGTTCTATGTCTTTGTCTGCACCTTACAAAAAGCCATTTCTCTGTGTGCTGGTATTATGTGAAATTATCAGGTTCCAACCTTACTTTCAATCTAAGAAATGAAATAAATATCCTGAAGTTTCTCATTGCAGGATACCTTTCCAGACATATATAGAGTTTTTTGTTTTCTATACAATAAGAAACTGAAGTCTATGCAAGATTAATGAATCTTTTGTTTAGCGAGAGGGTAGAATTTATGTTTTATTGTTCAGTAAACAGACAGGTTTTTTTCTTTTGTATATTCTTATAAAGAACTTAAGGGAAATGTTGAAAATACCACAAGCAAATTGAAATGCTAGAGCACTGTCACAGCAGCATATTTAATACACAATGTGGATGAAGTAACCATTGTAAGAAATTTTGATTTCAGAGATGGGAGAAAAGAGCTGGGTTCAGTAAGAGAATAGTGGGAGATATTAGCTGTTTCTTTTCAGGGTGGGTTTTTTGGTACTTTGTATAGAAACAGAGAAGACAGTGATTATTTCCTAAAGAAATCAAATAAAGCAGAAAATTTCATTTTCCAGTATACTTAAATGATCAAAGACTTTGAAACACAGCTTCTCTTATTGTCGAAATCTGTATTTTTCCAAGAACCTAATTTATGTTATCCCAGTGGTCTTCTAGATAAAGTTCTAAAATTTTATTTTTCTGCTTTTTGATGTCTAGTAGATATAATTCTATTAGTCTACTTGTTTCAATTACAGGGATTTGTTTCTTTAAAAAATAAGTGCAATTGAGAAATCTTTCTATTAATAGGGTACATTTGTATACAGTGTTATAAAAGTCTAGCACATTTTTCTTCTCATCTGTTTGTTTAATGCTCACCATGGCTTTCTTGCTATTCCATGTAAGAGCCCCTGATATTTTTAATTTCAAAAGGAGAATTATATTTTCATCAGCTGTAAGTTGGCTTGCAACTGGTCTGTTGTAATTATTGCTAACAGATCTGTGATCCTGAGAAGGCAGGGTCTGTTCCGTAGTCTAGTCACTCGAGAGAAATGAAGTGGCAAGCAGAAGAAAGCACCCTGTTGACATCAGCAAGTTTTGGTTTAGGCTGCGAGTCCTGGTGCATATGGAAAGCATAGGGAGAGAAGAAATGCAGTTGTATACGTTCAGGAATCTGCATAAGGTGTGTTTCTAAATAGTGTTTCTAAAGACTGGAGGTGTATTTCAATTTATGAATGCAACTTCCTTCAGTGCTTTTATTCCTCTGTAGCAAGTAGAGAGGCTTTCACCAGCTCTAGCTAGATGTATTTTTTTTCCTGGGATTCCTCTCATCTTCCACAGCGCTAGGTCCCGTCACCTTCAGAAATAAAGGCAGAACTTCTTTATCTCAAATTAATGACGAACTTCTCCCCACATAATTTGTATTGAGCTGCAGAAGCTGTTTCACTTAAGGCTGGGTAGCAAGTAAGTTTGGTCGTGGTTGTAAGGGGCCGGATAGCACACAGAACTACGGCAGACGGCAGGTAGGTGTTCTTAGGAAACACAGTGTAAAGAGTGCCTAAAGTCATGAACAGATTACGCAGAGACAGCTTGTTTTATGACCACTGAGGATTGTCAGCCGGTTCCAGCCCTGACCAGTTGAGCTATCTTCTGTCAAACATTCAGGCTCCTCTGGCTACTCCCCAGTGCCTCTCCGGGAGGCCACTGAGAAATCTGGGAATAGCTTTTTTAGATACGTCTGAATAAGCGTTTAACTCAGTATCTTGAAACTGTCCAGATCTGGAAGTGAGTGCTGTGTTCCCATGGGAACATAGGAAAATACTCATTTTAACTTCTTTATTCTTATTAACATGCACGTCCCTGAGACACCAGACTTCAGAATTGTGCTATATCCACAGAAAAATGTAGTTTTTTCCTACATTGGAATACCCTGTGATCCTGGATCTTGGTTACTGAGAGTCATGATCTGTCAACATTAAGGGCTATTTAGAGTGAGAAGAAAAGTGTGTATACAATGCTTCTGAGCCTAGTAGGAGAGTTAGTACCAAGTGTTGAGACAAGTGTAGTTAATAGGAATTTTAGTGCTACTGTGGCCAGAAAATACGCATGTCTCTGTGATCTACCATTTAAAATATATCCATGACACAGACTGAAAGATTTGTCTCGTTTTAACGAGCGTTGTTCATGGGGAAATTCCTGGTGAAATAGTGTGTCCTGCTTTTTGAGCTGAATATTGTCTGTCTTGAATTTGGGCTTGCGTTCTTTAGTCTGTAGCAGTCTGCTGCTGTCGTCTGGCCCTGACTCTGCCTCCGGTGCTGGTGCTGCCTCAGTGAGATTAGCAAGGGCTTCGTAATTTATCTCCTTCTAATGTCTCTGCCTGGCTGGCACTTTTTCTTCCTCTTTTAAATGGTAGTTTTTCTGTGCACTTCATAATATATTTCTTCTGCCAGTTTGTTGAGCACTTTTTAAGTGTTTTTTAAGCAAAATCAATAGGATCTTTTTTTCCGTATTAATCAAGTCTAACCCATTAGCAACATATTTTAGGAGCGCCTTCGTCAATAACGAAGCATTTAGCGTCTTACTCTGCAGTTGTGTTTTTGATTTATATGTTTATTAGAAGAAAGAAAAATCAAACTTTGAATAACCCCCCAAATTTCAGGATACCTTAGGATTTTATTTTTTAGTGTAAAAGATGGTGAAATTGCTATTCCAAGCATGAATGGCTCTGAGACTTTTAATGGCTAGGGTCATTCTGTTTGTTTGGCAGTGTCAGGGAATCAGTTGCAACAGTATTAATTTCATTGAAAAGGCCTTAGAGAGACAGAGCCAGAGTGCACGTGTGTGCACATGAGCGTGTGACTACAATATGCAACCAGAGGGAAGTCACAGAGACGGCGAACGGATGCAGCCGGCCTGGGCAAAATTACTGTCCCTATTAAAAAGCAGTCATTGCTTCTAATAGCCATGGGTTTAATTTGCTTCTTTGTGAGACCTGATGAAGTAAGTCACCGATACTTAAGGGCATGTCAAACAAGCAGGTTTATCAGCTGGATGCTTATGTCCCCAATCTGGATGATGAGATGGCACACCTTTTCTTACTGTCTCCAAGATCGACTGCGGAGATGGTACAGGTGGTAAACAGGCAAAGAGAGAAGCTGGCCTGTGGACGCGGATGGTATGAGTGCTCAGGACAAAAATGGACTATATTCCAAGAAGAAAACCGTATTTTTTTTTTCTGTTCTGTTTTTGGGGAAGTGTCGGAGACACTGCTATGTCTCAGAGAAAGTATTAGCATAGCTGCCCCAGAAAAGCCTAATATTTTTGTTATGGGTGTGAACGTCTTGGGCTTTAATCACCTTCCCTCCTTACCTCTAGCTCAAAGAATCATAGAATCATAGAATGGTTTGGGTTGGAAGGGACCTTAAAGATCATCTGGTTCCACCCTCCTGCCATGGACAGAGACATCTTCCACTAGACCAGGTTGCTCAGAGCTCCATCCAGCCTGGCCTTTAATGCTTCCAGGGAGGGGGCAGCCACAGCTTCTTGGGCAACCTGTTCCAGTGTTTCACCACCCTCATGGTGAAGAATTTCTTCCTAATATCTAAGAAGTGGGGTTAAATCAAAGCAGGAGCCTCTCCCTGACTTTTCTGTGTCACATTGCTGTGTGTGTTGTGGATGCTGAAACAATCCTATGCTCAGACTGTGGGCTGTAAAAGGGCTTAGGTGGCATGTCCCAGAAGTGAACAGTA